AAGGAGTCTCGTTATGCAAATGAAGGTTTTGAAAGTACTTATCTTGTTTTATGAGAGATTCATTTGGAGCTACAAGAGAGAATGAGAACCAAGGTTTGGGGATTCAAACTGATTTTGTTTTTTTTTTGAAATTTTATTTTATTTCAAAAAGATAGGGTTTTTTTTTTAAATAACTCAAACTCTTATATTGTCCCGATCTTAATGAAAAATACAAAATTGGTATTAATACAAATATAAAAGAGTTTAAATTAGTATATAATCAAACATAGAGGGACCAATTCTTCTTTTCTTCTAAATAAAAAGGCATGAAGTTATAGACAGACATAAATATAATTATAATTTTAAAAAGGAAAGGGACTAAATTATTTATTTCTAGCAATATGTAATCTTAATTTTTTTTTTTAAAATGATGATAAATTTTCAATTTTCTTTGTATACTGTATAAGATCATACATATTTAGTGTTCACTTGGGATTCTCGCCAGTTGAAAATTTATTATTTTTTTAATTTTATATTTTAAAATTATTTTAATGTATTATTGTAATTTTTTTAAAAAAATTATATTAATATATTTTAAAATAAAAAATACTCTAAAAATCAATAATTATAACAATTCTAAACGCCTTTTCTAATGACAGATACACCCTTTCAGGTTTCATCAACTATTGAGCGCCATCTGAAAACTAAAACAATAAAAACCCCGCGCTTCTCTTTTTTTCTCTGCGGCCTTTCCGTCTCCCATTTCAGTCCTGCTCTAACCCTAAATTTCTTTTCACTCTCCTTTGGGTTTTGGCGAGATTAAACGCAGGAAAATTGCAAACTAAACCGATCATTTAATCCCTAGGTTTCTCAGCTACCAAACACATCCTATTTTCTCTCTACACCCGTGTAAGTCCTAGCTTCTTTAGCTTTACAATTTTTTTTCCTCAATATTTATTTCTTATGTCATAAATCTGCTGGTTACATGCGTGAATTAAAATGAGTATTTTTATCAAAGCTTAATTGCAAATTTTTATATGTAATTGTTTAATTCAAGGCTTGATGTGAGTGATTAATGTGATTATCTTGAATGAGATGCATTAGTATTGTTTGGGCAATTTAGAGATTTGGATTTTAAAATTGAGTTTAATAGCAGTTTTAAGCCTATTTTCAATGAAATATAATCTGAGAAAATTGTGAGGATGTGATGTTTTCATTTGGATAAAATAATATTACTCTTTAGTTTTTGATAGGTTATGGATACATCAAAACCTGCGATTTTTGTCAACGGGGCACTTTTGCCGATGCATGTTCGAAAGAGGGTCCGGACTGTGATTCAAGTTGTGGGAGCTGATCGTGGAGCAGTAGTTGGAAAATCCCCGGATGATCTCCAGCTTGTTGTAAAAGGCTCTCCGCCATCTGCTCCTCTTACAAATTTTGTTGAGGTTATTGGCATTGCTGACAGTGAAAAATCAATCCAGGCTGAGATATGGACCAACTTTGGGGATGCATTTGGTATGGCATTTTGCTTTTTCGTTAAATTTCTTTCTGTTGTGTTGCCTTTCTTAAAATATATTGGGTTTTGTTGCTTCTACTTGAGAGTATCAAGTGGGCCAATCGAGCAGACACGGATTATTTTCTCTTCTACCTATAGATTTCCCTTGAATTATTAAAAATGCTTAAGTGAACAGATCTAGTGTAGTTAAGTTTGTCTGTATAGGAATGTCATTCTAGTGGGCGGTGGCTTCTCAATGCTGTTTTATATTCACCAGCTGATCTTTTGGCCGCTTGAAGTTCTATCAAGGCTAGTACCTTTTGTAGTAGCTACAATGTTCATTAAGGACAAGCATCTGACTTCTGAAACAAGATTTGGCGCAGTTTTTATTGATTTTTATATCTCATGACTAATCCTAGCTTGAGTGTCGCAGATAACACTATCTGTATGGAGGTTTATGCTGCTTTTTTTATTTCTCATTTCTTCAATGTTTGTTAGAATATGTTCTGGGATCAGTTTTTTAGTGCATCTCTCTATTCCCCCTCTGCCGATATGCAAGTTGTGATTAGCAATAGTGGGAATAGCATGGTATTTTGGCCAGTTGAATAAACTAATTTTTTGACATTATTAGGTTAGCCATTCCATGAACTTAATGTGCTTCTAAAAGTCTCTTCACATTTTGTTGGCAGATACATATAACTACAATCAGCTGTGTCAGCTTGCAAATGGGGAATATCAGCACTTATTCCTCTGAGGTATGGTGGCCATGTTTTGTCTTGAAGCTGGAGGTTCTTTTGGCCCTGATGTAGCTAGGTGGAAGATGTTGATGGGCCAAGTAAATCATATAGTAGTTTTTACCGGTCTTTAGAGATTTTCTTGAACCTGTTTTTTGGTCTGTGTAAACATCAGTGAAGTTGAGTGTAGAGCTCATATTTTGCTGAGCACCAGCAAAAAAAATTACTCGTTATTTTCTGCGCCTTTGACAGCAAATAAACGGGTGGTATTGATTATATTAATTAACCTTCGGCATGGTTTTGATCGTCCTAATTTTGTGATTCTGGAGCATTTCCTTGTTAGCTGACTGTTCCTATAATAAACTCAAAAATACTTTTTCACGACATCCCTTTGGTGGGAAGCATGAATCTTTTATAGGGTGTGTTTGAGATCGAAATGAGTTTGAGTTTTTTGGTAGAACCTATAAAATAGCAAATATATATTTTTAGCTTTTAGCGATTTGTGGTTTGTGTTTTAAAAGAATTGTAGCTACAAAAATCTTAAACTCACCACATCTCAATTCCTAAGTTCTAACACGCATTGAGGGATTAAGGCAAAACATCAATTGAGGTGATGTTTGGTATCTGTGGTGGTAATTGTCTTTAAAAATGATTTTTATTTTAAAATATATTAAAATATTTTTTAAAAAATATTTTTAATATTATCATATTAAAATGATATAAAAATTCTAAAAAAATTGAAGAAAATACATTTAAAAACATTGAGCATCCCTTGTATTTTTTTTGTTTAGTTGTGCAAACTAGATTATTGTATGTGCCATGCTATGTATCAATTTTTTTTAAAATGAAAAAATAGTATTTAAATGTTGTTAATGTGTTTTTAAATAAAAATAAAATAAAATTATATAAGGATTTAACTATTATAACCTTGTTGACTTAAAAAGTTTAAAGATACTCTGAATTCCTGATAAAAATATTTTTTGACTAAAAAAGCCAAGATAACATGTTTTTTAAAATATTAAAATAATAATATATTATATAGATTTGGATTAACTCGTTAAATTTATTATCCAAATTATGAGACTATAAATCTAATTCTTAATCAATTCAATGTTAAAGGATGAAAATGAAAATAAAATAATCTAAATTAATCTTTTAAACTTGAGTTATAAAACCAAAACAACTTCATTGAAAGTAAATCGAAACAAACTATAATAATTAATTTTTAATTAATTTAATATTGAATGATAAAATTAATGAAAACCTTTGATTTGGATCATGAAATTGTGATAACCTTATAAAATATAAATTAAAACAAATTATAAAATTTAATTCTCAATCAAATGCTAAAGAATGAAACTAAAAAAATCAATTAAAAAATAATAAAAAATCCAAGTTAACTAATCTAATTTAGGACTCAAGTTACAAGACTGTGTTAATCCTATAATTTCTAATTAATCAAACGTCGAAGTGTTAAATTGAAAAGAATATTAAAAAAAACAAAAAAAATCCGAGTTAACCCAATTTCATCTATTAAACCCAGGTCAAGACACCAAGTTAACTAGAAAGAAAATAAATAAAAAATAAAAAATCAAATTCTTAATCAACTCAATGTCAAGAAGGAATTTGAAAAACAAAACGTAAAAAAAAAAAAACCAAGTTAACTTGATTAACTTGCAAAATTCACGATTTGGATCACGAGATATCTCATAAAAAGAAAAAAAAATCATGAAGTTCAATTTTCAGTCAACTTAATATTAAAAAATAAAGTTGAGAAAATAAAACTTAAAAAATAAAATAAAATAACCTTTGTCAATACAACTAACTTGCAGAACTTGTCATCTTATGAGACTGATATAATTTTATAAAAAAAACATTAAAATAAATTCTGAAGTTGAATATCTAGTAAATCAATGTTAAATAATGAAATAAAAAAACTTTGTTTAAAATTAAAAAAAATTATCAAAAACTATGAGAATTAAAGTGAAAAAAAGCATTTCATTGTTAAAGTGAAATGACAAGGCATTTTAGTATATGTTAGTTAGGTAAATGTAACGTTTGAAGTTTTCACGGAACATAGTGTGATGGCTAGGTCATACATCTCTTGTAAGAGTCTAGGACAGCCGGGGTTTTACTTACTCATCTGAATCCACAAAATACGCTTTCTGGAAAATAGAGTTTACTCGAATTCAAAAAAAAAATGTTTGAAATTGTAGTATTAATTATTTTTTAAAATATTTTTTGTTTTGAAATACATTAAAATATTTTTTTATTTTTTAAAAATTTATTTTGACATCAGCATATTAAAAAAATTCAAAATAAAAAAATTAATTAAAAAAATAATAAATTTCAATTTTTTTTTTTTGAATACAGCAACAAATATACTCTTTAATAGCTTAATCTTCAAAAGCACTACCATAACTGAATCAGAGTTGTAATTTAACTGAATCGAAATTGAGCATCCGGAAAGACAAGTTTGGGTTTTTTTTTTTAAATAAATAAAAATACAATAAATTGAACTTGAGCTGCAAAAGGCCAGAAAGGTTTTTAATTTTCTCTTGCTTACTCCTTGAACTTCTTTTTTCCATATTATAGTATTTTTTTCAATGAGGTGATTTACTGACTTAATCAACTAATATTAGAGGGCTTCATGCTAATTACTAAACACATATAACAGTATTGTGATTAATGATGGCTCATCAGGCACAAACCGTTAATTATTATGATTAATGGCACTAATCCCATGTTGTTCTTGTCCAAAGAGAGAGTAATTGTAAGGAAAACTAAACACATATAACAGTATTAAACCAGTCTTATTGAAATTGTAACACAATTACAGAATAATGCATGGAAAACAAGATCTCTTATTTAGTAAAATAAAACAAGCACCAAGGGAGGACTAGAAACTCTTTATTTCGTAAGATCCAGCAGAATGATAATCAGCATGCATGAGCCTTCAACCAATCATAGGAACCCGAGTAACAATTCTGTTCCTGTCAATCCAAACACGAACCCTAGTGCAAGAGAACTCTCCAGTCACAATCGTTCCTTCTAACACAACCTGAGTGTCAACATAAGGATTCTCCGTTTCAATAGTGGCTATCGCAACCCTTGCTTGTGCTCCAAGGAGCTCTGGCCATGAACTCTTACCTGCAAAATTCAAGGCACCAATATTTGCATTAAAACACACACTGCACATATATACGTGCAGTTGCCACACGTTAATTCTAAGCCATAGAATTTCATTCATAATTAATTACCTTGACATTCTGATGCCATTGTAGTATTGGTCTAATGCTCTTCGGTACTCTGTTACGTTATCTCTTTCTGCTGTTTTGTTGTGATTGTATTTGAGATTGCAATAGGTATTTATAGTGTTGCATTCGATAGCTAGCTTGACTTGACCATTTCTGATTTTCTAGCCATTATTGCTTGAAAATTCAATCCTCTACAGCTAGAAGATAAATTGGACTTCCCATGCTGTCAACGATTTTCTAGGTGAAATCTTGCGCCGGATTTCTTATTAAGAGATTGACTTGATGGTTCTGTGACCCCACTTCTGCCATCTAAGTTCATACCTTAGGCTATAGCTGTGGGAAATATAATTCTCATAAATCAGCATACTTAAAATTAACTGATGCATAATTGTGTGTGTGTGTATAGTTGTTGGTTTTTCCTTCAGTTTTAGTAGATCAGAGCAATCAAAATCTTAAACACTTCCACTGATCATACATTTCATCACTCTGACTAATTCAACGTTTAGGCACTTAAACTTAATCAACCTTATCGCCAAAATGGAATAAGATTCACACTTGACATTGAAATCCATTAATATATCCTTTCGAACATCGGTAAATATACTGAGCTGACTTTTCTTGAGCATTTCAGCAGACCGGCCCGATGATAATAAGCTTGAAGAAAACCTACAAGGAATAAGAATAGAATGGAAGTGAAGAGAACCTCATGACACAGTTTGAACGCAAGGCAGAAAGTTTTCTAGTTGAGCGGCATTGAACGGCTTGTTCGCATGCTTGACCGTTGCAGAAATTTCAGCCATCGCCACTTTTCCACGTTTTTCAAGGTGAGAAGCAATCTCCTATGTTTTTCCTCTGTTTAATCTTATGTAATTTCAACAATACATAAATAGTCTTCCATAATAATAATAAAAGAAAAAAAAAGAAGCAAAGAAGTAGTCCACAATATATTGAATATGTATATTCTGAACCTTTCTTTGTTAGTTCTGGTGAATATTGTCAAATCTTCAACCATATCTGCCGATGAAGCATTTTACTCTGACTGATTCAATGTTCAGCTGATCTTATCGAGTAGATGGTTTATGCTAGCTTGCAGTCTACTCATGGGAATCAATAGGGAAAATTAATTAATAGAATTATTCTCGGAATTAATAAGAAATAAGAAAAATCTAAGTTAGTGATCATCACATAAGAATAACAAACAATCAGGAGCCCAGTCTCTGCAGCTCCAGGAGTTTTAATTATGTTCTGCTGCACTTTGCCTTTTCTGCCTTTAACATTTTATTTCTTATGATTCCGCAGATTGTTTTCTTTTTTTCTCTCCAAATGGATCCTATCTCTATTTTGTTGTCTTCATTTTCATATCTGGCTTATAAAAAAAATAAAAATCAAGAGACCAAAGCGTTTTGGCCATTAATAAAGCCCAGAGAAAGTTTGTCTGCTTTGTTCTTAATTTCTCTTTCTATACGTGGATATGAACTGGCAGCTTCTTTTCATATACCTTATGAGGCATGAGATTGCATTCATACGACCTCTGGTAATTAATTTCCGGGGTTGATACTGGATTTTAAAGTCAGCTACGAGCATTCGATGAGTTGAACATTCTCAACAGGTACAATTCTCGTATTTCATATAAAAAATAAAAATCCATGCAGTACAATCACGCAATTGACAGCAGGAAATGTCCTCTTTGTTCTAGAAAAACAAAGGAATCAGTAAACCGGTTAAGATAGATTGAATCGATCAACTGATTCAGTCATTATAATATCATTCATGTTTAAATTATAATTTTTTTTATATTAGTTTAATTTTTTTAATTATCTAGAATTTGAGAATAACTAAGAAATATTAAAGAGAAACACTTAATAAAAAATATAATTTCGTCCCAAATTTCTTTTTGTTAATGACTTTTTGATTTTGCATTATTATTTTTGATCTTTTATCACACCCATCCTCCTCCCAGCACTCATGCACGACCAGCTAACAAGAACTCAAGATAACTTGAAATCAAACATTAAGGCATCTTTAATTAGTAGCATCCATGAGTCTCCAGTGTTATGTGTGTGGACACAAATGGACGGTGACAACCATGGTCGGTGGCAGCCATGTTTGGTGGCAGCCATGGTTGAAGTCATAGTCAAATGGTAGGTGCCTAACTTGCCCACCATTGTTGAACAATCATCTCCCTCCTCAGCTATAAATAGAAGGTGCACTGATAGCTGAGATAGACCACGAGATAGAGAGAAACACAGAGAGAGAGCTAAGGGTGAGAGTCGAGTTGAGTTGAGAAGTTTGTCTCCTCCTCCTTGTTTTGTTGTTTGTATTGCTTTTGAGCTTGATTAATACAAACCAGTAGCTCCGTGGAGTAGGCAAGTTGCCGAACCATGTAAATTTATGTGTGTTTGAATGTTTGGATCTCCTAACAACTGGTATCAGAGCTTGTTCTTGAAAGTTCTTGAAAAAAGAGGGTGTTTGATCCAAACTCAAAAATCAAAGTTCTCAAAACGTGTTTTTGAACATACCACCGTGAAGAGGACGACTAGAGGAATCCACTGGTGAAAACCCGGCGAAAATCCGACGTCCTGCCTGCCCGCACGCGCCTGCACGCGCCACCACCAGTACTGTCCACGCGCACAGACGCGCAGTACGCGCTTCACGCGTCTTCCTCGCCGTTTCCTGCAAATTGACATTGCCACGTCAGCCGCCACGTCAGCCGTCCGGCACAGTCAGCAGTCGCGCACCCTGCCACATCAGCATTTTGACCGGTCAACCCGCCACGTCATCCGCCACGTCCAGAAAATCTCCTCGGATCTGCCACGTCAGATTGGGGTGGACCCCACATTGCCTACGTGTCTGCCACGTCAGCATAACTGGGTTTTGATCCGGTGTGGCGCAGAGACTATTCCTCCTGCCACGTGGCTTCATCTGCAGCGTCCAGTTATCTCAATTTTTTGATTGTTTAAATCGGAGCCATCCGAAGTCCGATTTAGGTGATCTCAGTGTCGTTTCCAGCATTTTTGGCCATTCCGGACACATCTGTAAGGTCAGATTTTTGAGATTCAAATCCAAGAAAGAGTAAAAATGGCTGATGAAATAAAGGCTGCAGGAATTGAAAAATTTGATGGAACTGATTTTGGATATTGGAAAATGCAAATTGAAGATTATCTATATGGGAAGAAACTTCATCTTCCTCTGTTGGGGAGCAAGCCAGAAAACATGTCAGAAGAAGATTGGCAAATTCTTGATAGACAAGTCTTGGGCATTATCCGGCTATCATTGTCAAGAAGAGTTGCTCATAATGTTACAAAAGAGAAATCCACAGCAAGATTGATGGAAGCCTTGTCTGGGATGTATGAGAAGCCATCAGCAAATAACAAAGTGCACTTGATGAAGAAGCTGTTCAACCTGAAGATGACAGAAAGCACCTCTGTTACACAGCATCTTAATAATTTCAACACCATCACAAATCAATTGTCATCCGTTGAAATTGAGTTTGATGATGAGATCCGAGCACTTATTTTGCTAGCTTCACTTCCAAGCAGTTGGGAAGGTATGAGAACAGCCGTAAGCAACTCAGCTGGAAAATCCAAATTAAAGTATGATGATATCCGAGACCTGATTTTAGCTGAAGAAGTACGAAGAAAAGACTCGGGTGAAAGCTCAAGTTCAGGTTCAGCTTTCAACATCAACACTCGAGGAAGGAGACAAGACAGAGGCTTATCCAGAGGCAGATCAAAATCCAGGTATAGAAGCAAAAGCAAGTTTGGACCCCGGAAGCAGGTTGAATGTTGGAATTGTGGCAAACCTGGCCATTTTATGAGGAGTTGCACAAAACCAAAGAAACCTGAAGCTGATTCTGCAAATGCCACTACAGATGAGGTACAAGATGCTTTGATCCTTGCAGTACATAGTCCTATTGATGATTGGGTTCTTGATTTTGGAGCTTCATTTCACTGTACTCCACACCATGAAATGATGCAAAATTACACTGCTGGAAATTATGGGGTAGTCTATCTGGCCGATGGACAAGCATTGGATATTGTGGGTATAGGAGATGTGCAAATCAAGACAATGAATGGATCTACATGGAACTTGCAAAATGTAAGGCATGTTCCTAAACTAAAGAAGAAGTTGATCTCGGTCGGACAACTTGATGATAGTGGCCATTCAATCCTTTTCTCTGGAGGAATGTGGAAGGTATCAAAGGGAGCAATGGTTTTGGCTCGTGGAAAGAAAACTGGCACTCTGTATATGACCACAAGATCAGCAGATATAATTGCCTCTACTGAAGCAGAAAATCAGGCACAACTATGGCATTGCAGACTCGGCCATATGAGTCAAAAGGGGATGAAGATACTTCAGTCAAAGGGAAAGCTGCCAGAATTAAAAAATGTTGATCTAGACATTTGTGAAAGCTGTGTTCTCGGAAAACAGAAGAAGCTCAGTTTCTTAAAGGTTGGCAGGACCTTAAGACCAAGAAAACTAGAACTGGTGCACACAGATTTATGGGGACCAGCTCCAGTAGCATCTCTTGGCGGTTCTCGGTACTATGTCACTTTTATTGATGACTTTAGCAGAAAGGTATGGGTCTACTTTCTGAAAAATAAATCTGATGTGTTTGACACATTCAAGAAATGGAAGGCTATGGTTGAGACTGAATCAGGCTTGAAGCTGAAATGCTTACGATCTGATAATGGAGGAGAATACATTGATGGAGGTTTCAAGGAGTATTGCGCTGTCAACAGTATCAGAATGGAAAAGACAGTTCCAGGCACACCACAACAGAATGGTATTGCTGAACGGATGAATCGGACCATCAATGAACTAGCTAGAAGCATGAGGTTGCATTATGGGCTACCTCAAACATTCTGGGCTGATGCAGTTCATACTGCAGTTTACTTGATCAACCGTGGACCATCAGTACCTTTGGAGTTCAGACTGCCCGAGGAAGTCTGGAGAGGAAAAGAAGTACAGCTTGCTCACCTAAAAGTCTTTGGGTGTGTTTCCTATGTGCATGTAGACTCTGATGCTCGCAACAAGCTGGATGCCAAATCAAAGAAATGTTTCTTTATTGGCTATGGAGATGAAGAATTTG